TCTATCAGATCTCGTCCCTTAAATCTATTTCTGACTTTCACTGTATAGTCATAAGGGATTTGATTTACATCATACCTGAATGGTCTACTGGTTTTCCCTACTTTCTTCAGTTTAAGTCTGAATTTGGCAATAAGAAGTTCATGATCTGAGCCACAGTCAGCTCCCGGTCTTGTTTTTACTGACTGTATAGAGCTTCTCCATCTTTGGCTGCAAAGAAAATAATCAATCTGATTTTGGTGTTGACCATCTGGTGATGTCCATGTGTAGAGTCTTCTCTTGTGTTGTTGGAAGAGGGTGTTTCCTAGGACCAGTGTGTTCTCTTGGCAAAACTCTATTAGCCTTTGCCCTGTTTCATTCCGTACTCCAAGGCCAAATTTGCCTGTTACTCCAGCTATTTACCTGGGACCAAACTATGGTGGAGTTAATGAATGGATGGATCACATCACCGACTCAATGGACATGAGTATGAATAAACTCTCGGAGTTGGTGATGGACAGGGAGGCCTGGCGTGCTGCAGTCCACGGGGCCGCAAAGAGTCAGACACGACTGAGTGACTGAACTGAGCTGCCTGCTTCCTGTCGATGGTTGTTCAACAGCTAGTTGTGATTTTGGTGCTCTGGCAGGAGAAGATGCCTAGCTGATTTTTATCTTGATGATCTCTCCATTGATGTCAGTAGGATGTTGAAGTCTCCTGCTTTTATTGTATTATTGTTGATTTCTCCCTTTATGTCTGTCAGTATTGGTTTATATGTTTAGACACTCCTCTATTGGGTGTTGGAGAAGGCAATGGCACCCCACTCCCATGCTCTCACCTAGAAAATCCCGTGGACGGAGGAGCCTGGTGGGCTGCAGTCCATGGGGTCGCTAAGAGTTGGACGTGACTGAGCGACTTCACTTTCACTTTTCATTTTCCTGCATTGGAGAAGGAAATGACAACCCACTCCAGTGTTCTTGCCTGGAGAATCCCAGGGACAGGGGAGCCTGGTGGGCTGCCATCTATGGCATCACACAGAGTCGGTCACGACTGAAGCAACTTAGCAGCAGCAGCAGCAATGAGAAATTTAAATTGCAAGGTTTAGGGACTAAGTTATGAAGAGTTTATGGAGTTTTTTTCTCCTATTATAAAGGATCTAAATTTTTTGTTTTTGACCTTACCACTATATGTTATGGATCCTAATGGCTAGAAGAAATAATGTTCAAATAAAGTCTATGATTAAGAATATTTATCTTTATTGTTGTTAGAAATCCATTATTTTCTGTTTGTCGTTAAAGATTGTATGGCTTTTTTTTTTTTTTAAGATAAGTAAGGTAGGTACTAGAATCACATCATTTTCATTTATATGTGTATAACACAGTTTTTGAGTTCCAAGCACACTGCAATATTTGTACGGTCTCTCCTTGATTTTTATGAACTCTGAAAGAAAGAGCTGAATTATGTTTTTAAAGGACACTTAATGAGCAAAACTAGACACAGGGGAAACTGAAAATTTCCACTTAAATGGAGCACTTCCTTTATAAATATATAACACAGTATATTCTCAAATGGAAATGTTTTAAAATTTTACTGGTTTTTCAATCATTGCTGGAGTCATAGTGTCTGCTTAAGGGACAAATGGATTATTTTTATTTGATTTCTGACTAGTAGTCTTTGACAGTCCCAAATATAAACATGTCTGATGGTTTCTTTTTTTGGGGGGGAATATTTGAAAATGTAGTCTGATTTTCTTTTTCTTTTTTTGGTGTGTGCTGTTCTGTTGACTATATTTGTATTTTCTCAGTGTATCGTGATTCCATGGAAAGAGTAATTTTTAAGAACCTGGAATATGAAAATGTATCAGGTTGATATGAAAAAAAAGCATTTCAAATATTAAGCATGGTACTGATAAATGCACATGGATGGTACTCTTGGTAGAAAAATAAGACAGGGTAAACATGAGATTTTTATTGTAAGTATTAAATATCAAAATGCAACGTAGCTTTTATAAATTATTACCAGTTAGTGGAGGATGAATATGCAGCACAAATTTAAATTTTAGAACTTCTAAGTCATTATTAATTTAATTTATATATTACTTTACATGTATATGTTTATACATTTATATAGATATTTTGGTATTACATTTATCTAGCATTTCCTTTTTTCTTCAACAGAAATCTTCTTGACCGAGACACGTTTTCTAAATCTGATCCAAGTAAGTATTTAACTTGCTTTTTGAAATAGTCCATTCAGGAGGAGAGGAGGCAACAGAGATGCGATGGTGCAGTGGCATCACTGACACAATGGACATGAGTTTGAGCAAACTCTGGGTGATAGTGGAAAAAATGGGAAGCTTGGTGTGCTGTGGTTCATGGAGTCACAGAGAATTGGACATGACTTAGCAACTGAACAACAACAACAACTTATTTTACTTACTTGATTTTGTAGAAAGTTCTATGAAAATTATAATTTTTACTTAAATATTGTCTTAAAGACTAGAAAGCAAGGGGGAATACGGTCTCAGGCCCTGCATTCTTATCTACCTGGGCAGTACTCTGGCTAAAGAGAGGAAATTGCTTAGCATTTTGAGACTAAGAAGAAAATACAAATGACTCCAATGCAGGACAATTCATTTTGAAATTAAAACCTCACTGTAAAGCCATATGATAGAAATTATATTTGAAAGACAGCTGTAATGGGCCATAATTCTAAGTGATCAAGTCACAAAGTAACAAGTTTCCTTTTTTTGTGAATAAAGGAAGTATATAAAGTCATGTATAACGAAGTGAATTACATAGCATCTTGAATGAGCTGAATTTTTTGATTACTAATTATGTATATATTGAAAGCTGGAGATAAATTGTACAATGAAAGCCAATTTTAATTAGAAAACAATAGAAATAATATATAAATCAAAAAAGAAGTTGATATCCAGTTGCTCTCCATCTCTTCAAATGTATGAAACTGTGGTTTAATGATGGGAGAGAGGTTTTTTCAGTTGATGAAAGAGTTCTTGAGATCGTCACTGGAGAAAAGGCATTGCAATTTGTGGGTATTAAAAGTTCCCAGAACTCATCAGTAAGTGAACGGGATATTTTTATCCCTTAATCTTTACTCTAGACTCTTAATCTACCTTTTTTGGACCTTCATTTGTGGTTGACAGGATTTCTTGTTTACAAACATTGAGGATAGGAGTTGCAGATATTAAATTTAACATTTGATTTGGTGCAGATTGTCCTTCCTATGATGCTTCTGAGGATTATAACTATCCTACGAAGAGCATGACCTATGACTGGTAACAAACTGAAACACTTAAAAACTGCTTGTGTGTGTGTTAATTGCTCAGTTGTAGCTGACTTTTTGAGACCCAATGGACTATAGACTACCAGGCTCCTCCATCCATGGAATTTTCCAGGCCAGAGAACTGGAGTGGGTTGTCATTCCCTTCAATAGGGGATTTTCCTAACCTAGGAATTGAACCCTGGTCTCCTGCATTGCAGACAGATTCCTTACCAGCTGAGCCCCCAGAGAATTCACAAAACTATTTAACCTTAGTTTAAAAAAAAAATCACCTACATTTGTAGCATAATATAATTTTAGATGTTAGCAAATAACTATTGTATTTTTGTTCTAAGACCTATGCATGTTAAGGTCTAAAGACCTGTTATAGTTTTTTTGCTTATTTATAAAAATTTTAATCATGTGATAATTTATTAGCAATTTTCCTGCCAGAGTAAGGTGAGGTATTAAGAACTAATTTTAACATACCTTTTGGACAGCTGAAAAATAAATTGGGTTTGTTCACTTGATATTTATAAAAAATGTTTAGATATATTTATTTTTTCATCTTTTTGTAGTTTGTGTCTTATATATACAAGGAGTTGGAAATAAAGAATGGAGAGAGGTAAGAATTGGAATTTTTAAAATATGATTTTTATGCTGCAAGACATGGTATGAGTTACAATGTAATCAAGATGATACTTTCCTGTTTTTAGTTATTTTAAGTCATCTTCAACCCAAAGATTGAATTTCTTTTTAATTTTATTTCATTTTAATTTGATGGAAGCAATTTTTGTGTTTTGTTTTTAACAGTCTTCAATGTTTAGCTCATTTATGATCTTTCTGTGAAATAACCTAGCCTTGATTTGTGTTTTCCTCAGTCTTACATAAGTTTAGTATGACCCAGTTCTTACACAGTTGAAGTGTGCGTTCAGTCTCACTTTTTGAAGTCAACTGCTGATTTTATAAAATATTGCTTTAGAGGATTTTAAGTGTGGTGATTGATATCAATTATCAATTATTGATATTAATAATAGGAAACTCAGTTTCCTATTATTAGGTTGGTGCAAAAGTAATTGCAGTTTTGTATTGTTGAAATTGGCCATTTGATATTGGAATACATTTAAAATAAAGAAGGTTATGTCATACATCATTTTAATGGGCATTTCTCTATTTATTTTTTTTTGCTAATGACTTATTGCTTGGTATAATATTATTACTTGTTTATTTTATATTTATTTTAGACTACGTAAATGATGTTAGACAAATTGCAAATTCGGGCGATTTTCTTATTTGAGTACAAAATGGGTTGTAAAGCAGCTCGCAACATCAACAATGCATTTGGCCTGGGAATTGTTAACTAATGTACAGTGCAGTGGTGGTTCAAGAAGTTTTGCAAAGGAGGCAAGAGTCTTGAAGTTGAGAAGTGTAATCACTGGCCATTGGAAGTTGAGAACAACCAATTGAGAGCCATCATCGAAGCGGATCCTCTTACAACTAAATGAGAAGTTGCCCCAAAACTTATCATCAACCATTCTATGATCATTTGGCATTTGAAGCAAATTGGAAAGGTGAAAAAGCTTGATGCGTTTATCATGTCTCATGAGCTGACCAGAAATCAAAACAAGCATTTTTGAAGTGACGCCTTATTCTACACAATAATAATGAGGCATTTTTTAACTGGATTGTGATCTGTGACAAAAAGTGGATATTTTTATGACGACTGGCAATGACCAGCTCAGCTGTTGGACAGAGAAGAAGCTCTAAAGCACTTTCCAAAACCAAACTTATACCAAAAAAAGTTCATGGTCTGCTGCTGGTCTCATCCACTACAGCTTTCCAAATCCCAGTGAAATCATTACATCTAAGAAGTATGCTCAGCAAATTGATGAAATGCATGAAAAACTATAACGCCTGAAACTGGCACTGGTCAACAGAAAAATCCAATTCTTCTCCATGGCAACACCTGACGGCATGTTGCACAACAAAAGCTTCAAAAATTGAACAAATTAGGATACAAAGTTTTCCCTCATCCACCATATTCACCTGACTTCTCACCAACCACCACTTCTTCAAGCATCTCTATAACATTTTGCAGGGAAAACACTTCCACAACAAGCAGGATATGGAAAATTCTTTCCAAGAACTTGTCAAATCCCAAAACATGGATTTTTATGCTACAGGAATAAGCAAACTTGTTTCTCATTGGCAAAAATGTGTTGATTGTAATGGTTCCTGTTTTGATTAATAAAGGTATGTTTGAGCCTAGTTAATAATGATTTAAAATTCACAGCCTGAAAGCATAATTACATTTTAACCAACCTAAATACAAATACTTTGTTTAATGGAGTAAAAGCAAGGAGGCAGAATTATACTTTTTCATGGTTAATGATTTTATTATTTTTATTTCATTATAGTTGATGTGTGATATTATGTAAGTTGCAGGTGTATAATATACTGATTTGCATATTTTAAAGGTTGTACTCCGTTTGTACTTATTTTAAAGTATTGACTAAATTCTCTGTGTTATATAGAATGTCTTTGTAGCTTGCTTCATACATAAAGGTTTTTACCTTCGTCCTTAGTCTTAAGGACCTTTACCCCTGAATTGCCCCTCCCACTTTCTCTCTCTCCCCATTGGTCACTGCTAGTTTCTTCTTTCTGTCTGTGAATCTTTTTCTTTTTGTTATATTCACTAGTTTGTTGTATTTTTTTTATATTCCACATATAAAGTAGCTTATTTCACTTAGCAAAATATTCTCCAAGTCCATTCATGTTGTTGCAAATGTTCTGTCTGTGAATCTTTTTCTTTTTGTTATATTCACTAGTTTGTTGCATTTTTTTATATTCCACATATAAAGTAGCTTATTTCACTTAGCAAAATATTCTCCAAGTCCATTCATATTGTTGCAAATGTAAAATTTCATCATTTTTATATGGTTAATATGCCATTATATGTATGATGTATGTGTGTGTGTGTGTGTGTGTGTGTGTGTGTGTATATATAGAGAGAGAGAGATACAGATATAGATATATCTATATATATCTATATCATGTCTTCCAGTTCAAGAACATGGTGTATTTTTCAATCTGTTTCATCTTCAGTTTCCTTCATCAGCATCTTATAGTTTTCTGTGGATATATCATTTCAACTACAAACAGTGACAATCTTACTTCTTCCTTACCAATTTAGATTTTTTATTATTTTTTCCTGTTTAATTGCTGTGGTTAAGATTTCCAGTACTGTGTTGAGCGAAACTGGTGAGAGTGGGTAACATTTTCTTGTCCCTGATCTTAGAGGTAATTATTTCAAATTTATACCGTTGAGTATGATATTAGCTGTTGGTTTTTCACATATGGCCTTTGTTATGTTGTGGTATATTTCCTCTATGGTCACTTTCTAAAAAGTTCTTATAATTAACGGATATTGAATTTTGTCAAAAGCTTTTTTCTGCATTTATTGAGATGATCACATGGTTTTTAATCTTCAATTTATTAATGTGGTGTATCACATGATTGATTTGTGGATAATGAAAAATCCTTGCATTCTTGTCATAAATATCATTGGTCATGGTGTATTGTCCTTTAATTCATCATTAGAGTCAGTTTGCTAGTATTCTGTTGAAGATTTTTTAATCTGTTTATCAGTGATATTGGCCTGTACTTTTCTTTCTTTCCTTTTTTTTTGTCTAATATTGGTATAAGGGTGATGCTAGGTTCATAGAATGATTTTAGAAATGTTCCTTTCTTTGGAATTTTTAGATATATTTTTAGAAGAATAGGTGTTAACTCTTCTGTAAATGTTTGGCAGAATACACCTCTGATGTCATGTTCCCTTGGACTTTTGCTCACTGGGAGTGTTTTAATTACTGATTCAATTTCAGTATTGGTAATTCTTCTGTTCATATTTTCTATTTCTTCTTGATTCAGTCTTTGGAGATTATATGTTTTTAAGTATTTGTCTGTTTTTTCTAAGTTTCTATTTTATTGGAATTTAGCTGTTTGTAGTAGTCTTCTTGTGATATTTTTTAGTAACATTTCTCTGGTATCAGTTGTAACATCTCCTTTATTATATCTGATTGTAGTGATTTTATTTCTCTCCCCCCTTTTCTTTCCTTGTTAGGTCAGGCTGAAGGTTTACCAATTTTGTTCATTTTCCCAAAGAACCGACTTTTAGTTTAACTGATTTTTTTCTATGGTTTTTTATACTCTATGCCATTTACTTCTGCTTTGATCTATGCTTTCTCTCTTAATAATTTTGAGTTTTATTCGTTCTTACTCCAAGTTCTTTAGGTGCAAGTTTAAATTGTTTATTTGAACTTACTGTTAAATCCTGATGTAAGCTTGTATTGCTATAGACTTCTCTCTTAGAACTGCTTTTACTGTGTCCTATAGGTTTTGGATCATTGTGTTTTGTGTTCATTTGTCTCTAGGTGTTTTTTTTTTTATTTCCTCTTTGACTACTTCAGTGATCTGTTGGTTGTTTAGTAGCATATTGTTTAGCATCCATGTGTTTGTGGTTTTTTTTCCAGTTCTTTTCTTGTAGCTGATTTCTAGTCTCAGTCACTGTGGTTGGAAAGATTTTTGATATTATTTCAATTTTGTTGAATTTCATAAGGTTTGCTTTGTGGCCTACTATGAGATCTGTCTGAGAGAATGCTCCATGTGCACTTAAAAAGGATATATATTTTGTTGCTTTCAGGTGGAATATCATATATATAAATATGTGTGTGTGTGTGTGTGTGTATATATGTATATATATATATATATATATATATATACATAATTCATCTGGTCTAATGTGTCATTTAAGGCAAGTGTTTCCTTATTGATTTTACATGTGGATGATCTGTCCATTGATATAAATGGAGTTTAAAGTCCCTTTACTATTGTGTTACTGCTGTCAACTTCCTCTTCTGTGTCTGTTAACATTTGCCTTATATAATTTTTTAATAGGTTCAGCATATATACTTATTTGGTGTTATACCTATATACTTATTTGCTGTTATTGTCTGTTTATATATACTTAGAGTTGTTTTATCCTCTTGGATCGATTGCTTCATCATTATGTAGTGTCTCTCTTTGTCTTTTGTACCAGTAATTATTTTATAGTCTATTTTACTAAGTATTACTAACTCTTTGTTGAAAGGTTCCAATTTCTCATTATTCTTCTGAATTCTGTGACCATCTTTACCATTACTACCTGAACTCTTTCTTGAGTAGATTGCCTATCTCCATCTCACTTAGTTCTTTTGGAGTTTAGCTTTACTTTTGTTCCTTCATCTCATACATATTCCTCTATTGCCTCAGTTTTCCTAAGGAGCTATTTGTATTTTCATTTTCTTAAAGTTCTGTTATGTTTCCTGACCTTAGAGAAGAGGCCTTATGTTGCTGTTGTTGTTCAGTTGTTAAGTCGTGTCCAGCTCTTTGTGACCCCATGGAGTGCAGCACTCCAGGCCCCCCTGTCCTTCACTGTCTCCTGGAGTTTGCTCAAGCTCATGTCCATTGAGTCAGTGATGCTATCCAACCATCTCAACCTCTGTAGCCCCCTTCTCCTCCTGTCCTCAATCTTTACCAGCATCATGGACTTTTCCAATGAGTCAGCTGTTCGCATCAAGTGGCCTG